AAAAGCTGAACGCCAAAGGATTGAGGCCTTTGAACTATGGTGCTGGAGAAGACTCCTGCTAGTCCCTTGGACTGCAAGACAATCAAACCGGTCAGTCCTAGAGATCAACCCTGACTGCTCTTTAGAAGGCCAGATCCTGAAGAAGAGACTCAAATACTTTGGCCACCTGATGAGAAGGAAGGACTCTTTGGAGAAGAGCCTCATGCTGGGAATGATGGGCAAAAGAAGAAGGGGACAGCAGAGAATGAGATGGCTGGATGGTGTCACTGAAGCAGTCGCCGTGAACTTCAATAGACTCCAGAGGATGGTAGAGGACAACAAGGCCTGGAGGATCGTTGTCCATAGGGTCGTGATGGGTCAGACACGACTTCGCAACTAACAACAACAACAATGAGAAGAATATTAGACTCATAAGCAGCTCCTGCAGTGAATGCTGGAAGTTGCTAGGATACTAATTCAAATATCACACAAACTGCATTCATGCTTCTTATCACAGGTAAAGAATAATAGAAATGGATGTTTATATTGTTTTCTCCATTTTGTATTGTATTATGTTCTCTTTCCTTTTGCCTGGACCAGGTGGGTTCTGTTTAAATACTTTGCCCAAATACTTGTTTCCTGCATAAAAATGTCACAACTTGGAAGGCAGTTCTTCTCATTGGTAAAAACATTACCAGTTTAGTAAAAAAAAATATGTTCTTTTCATAGTAGTCCAAATTATTTCCAGTAGTGACACAATATGAAAAGCAATCATTCAGATATTTGCACAGCAGGATGACATGTCTTTCATGCTGTCTTCTATATTTTTAGACACTTTTTACATTTTAATAGTTTTTAAAACTATTTTGAACTCGCTGATTCCTCTTTGATGCTTGTCCTCCTTCTTCCCACCACTTAAAATAACACAGAAATGTTTTGAATCTTCAGTTTGGCCCTACAAGTACTTTGTGTTAAAACTAATACTCTCCAAATTATAAAATCCCAGCTCTTTGTAGATTGCATTTGAATAAGGATAGCCTATCTCAAATAGAATGAAAAGAGAGAGTGAAGAAGAATTAGCAGAAGAAGTGAGGCTCTGTAGAGATTTTGTTTTGTAAGTCTTTTGGATATTGAAAAATCTATATAAGAAACTTTTTGAATGTACAAAAATATACAGGAACATTTAATAAATAATGGGAATAACCTAGGAATAATCAAAACAATGTTTTTAGGAGACTTGGTATCCAATAAGGCTTTGCTAAGATTTGGCTTGCTTCTGAGTTCTGCCTCAATAGATCAGAGTCTAGGTCTTTGGAGTGTGTTCAGCTGCTTCTTCCCAAAAGTTACATATTCTGAAGTTCTGGTAGACAACAGTACTAGGTAAAAGATTAGACAAATTCTGATTTCCTTATTTGTGACATGTCTTGAGCCTCTTATGCAAATAGAACGGCTACTTTAATAGATGTGGCTAGTCTTCGTCAGAGGGTGAATTAGTATCTTGCAATGAAACCTGTGGAGCTTAAAATTAAATCTCACCTTGAAAAGTAAACTAGAGGTTTAAAAATTAAGCCCACTTACCACCAGTCAGGATTGATGGGGTATCAGTATTAATGTTCCTTGTGAATTAAACTGTGTGTGACTTTCCGTGTCAAAATTGCTTTTCCCAGTCTTAAATCACATGAGGTGTTCAAGGGGGGGGGGACTTTTCAACATCTCCTAATTGTCATCTCATCCATGTAGATTCTTTTCTCCCTTCTGAGACCTGTAGCCTTGTGTATTGCTTCTTGGCAATCTATGTGTCATATATTTTCTCGAGATTTGATGTCTGTTATGATGAAAGTGTCAATGCTCCAAAGATTAAATTGATTTTCTTCTTTTCTCTTCCCTTCTGTCCTTGTGTCTAGAAACAGTATTGCTGCTTCAGCAGTGTGTGCCTTCAATCTCAGTGCTATTACACAAGCCTTTAATGGACCTTTCCGATACCAGGAGAATCCAAGATCTGCATGGCTCCCAACAATCAATCCGATCCCAAACTTTCAGGTATTTTAAAACATTCTCAACTTACTCAGAACCTCTTGTGTTTCATCTGCAGTAAAACATTGGAATTAATCAGTTGACTAGTGTATCAAGTTTGGAGATAAGGAATTTAAGTTTATGTGGGTAGGTGGCATGCATGAATTAATGGATAGGAACAGATGCCTTGATCTGGCTGTATATAAAAGGATACCAGAGTGATGCTGTGCCATTTCTTAGCTTAATATAGCCTGGAAGAAGAATTATAGGAGATAATATTCACTTTTGTGTCTTGTTTATCTGTTAAGTTTATATCTCCCTTTTCTGTTAGGAATTTGAGCTGACATAAACAGGATACCCAGTTCTATTTTCATTTCCATAACAATACTTTGAAGCTGTTTAAAGATAGTGGCTGACCAAAAGTCATCCAATGATCTTCGACGGTCGAATGTAGGCGTCAGTTTCGCAATCCCAAATCTTACAATAACTAAATGTGTTCGCAGTAAGGACAGATATTCTTCTGTGTTAGCATTGGCCATCTCCAAGATGATATTTTTGACAGTAAGCGTTCAATTCTATTCAGTACAATACAATTCGGTTTATTGGATTTTGAGGCTGTCTGATTCCCAAAAAACTTTGGGCAATTTACAATATTTAAAAGACCATGTAATTGAAAAGGGAGCATGACTGCCTGTACAAAAACACATAAATGACACGTAGGAAAAAAATTGCCACCATAATTTCCTTCTACAGACAGTCTAACCCCAGGCTAGAACAAAACCAGGTCTTACAGGTCTAGATCAAACTTTAAACTGCCAAAATAAAAGCATATTTTATGTTGGCCAAAAATAAGTTATTATTGGTATATGTTTCTGGTAGTAGCCGGCATACCAGCAGATGGGCCAGGCTCTGTGTCTCTCCACATTCACATAGTGTGTTGTTATCCACTAAAAGCCTCCATTTGAGCATATTGGTTTTACATTTAAGCAATTCTTAATCTATTCAGGGTCCTCCAGTTAATATAAGGGAGTGTCAGATCCTTCAATCATATTCTCATTTAATCTTATTCTTTGCTTAATGGTCTCCTTTCTCCATCTTTTAATCTGATTTTGACAAAGCTTGCTTTTAAGAGACTTCAGGAGTGGAAACCAGGTTTATCTCGAAAGGGTGCTATTCCAGAGAAAGGTTTCCTCAGCCCTATGATGTGAATATTTAATTGAAGAGACCAAGAGTGTACCCATTCTGCCTGTTTGTACCATTGCATTGCATATATCAGGTCACTTTGCATATATGGGGATTCTGGTAACTCAATGTTGCCAGTTATTGCCAAGGTTGTGTTTCAGCAGAAAACCCACAGCTGACCTGCTATCAACTGTATGCCTGCTGCTGTATCCTTACTTGCTGCCTGCCTTTGTGGGTGTGTATGAGGGGGGGAGTTGCAAATATTTGTTTGTTGGTTCCAATCCTATTTTTCTATGCTAAACACCCATCAGATACCAGTTCATTGGAGGTCTGTTACGTTCCTAACTCAAGTAGCATTGAGGGACATTCTGGACATTTTGTAGTCCTTTTAAAAGAATAAAATTTGCACTGCAAAAGACATATGAAAAGATTACAAAGCCAAGTTAAGAATCTTACAAAAAGGAATGTAATTATGGTGGATAACAGGATCTAAAAAAAATATTAGAGAATGTTTCAAGTAGAGAAGGAGCAGAAGGTAAATGAAGCCTTCAAGAGATGACAAAGATAATATAGTGACTAGAAAAAAATTATTGGAGAAAAAAATAATTCCTCACTTGCTTTCAAGCAGGATATTTAATATGGAAATCTGTGCAATTGAAAAATAAACAAGCAATTTTTTGGTACACACAACCAAAGACAGAAGACAGAGGCTAGTAATCTCCAGACATCAGCAAGTGCACACGAGACTCCACAGATTCAATATTTGTTCTAGACAAATGCCCCACCCACAGTGCCTCCTTAAGTCTCAATACCCAGGTGTGCCTTGTGAAGAAGGGTGTGGCATTCTCCTCCCGAGTAGCCAACTCTGTTCTGCCCCGGGCAATGAGGTTCTGCTCGGGCAGCCAGTTAACTCCATGATTGGGAATATTTTTCAGATGAAGTTTATTGTCAGGAATCCTTAATAACAAAACTTACAGTTCAGTAATGAGGTTCTTCTGACTTTCCCTGATCT